GCTTGATTACGTTTTCTTTCTTTCGTTCCCCCCTTTTGCCATTTTATCTTTCTTTCTGTCTTTTATCTCTTTCTTTTTCTCTTTATTACAATCTTTATTTTTTTCTTAGTTTCATTTGCTATTTCTTTCTTTCTCTCTTTTTCTTTTTTTCTTTTTTCTCTTTCAATTTTTTCCTTGTCTCCTTTTTTTGTTTGTTTTTTACTGTCCTTTCTCCTATCTTTTTCTCCTTACTACTTTTCCCTTTTTCTTTCTTTCCTTTTTCTTCTTTTATTTTCGCTTTCTGTCTTTCTTTCTTTTTTCTTTCTTTCTTTTTCTTTCTTTCTTTCTTTTTTCTCTTTCCTTCTTTCTTTCTTTATCTTTTTCCTTTTCTTTTTCTCTCTCTATTTCTCTTTCTTTTCTCGGTTTTTTGCTGCTCTTTCTCCTATCTTTTTCTCCTTACTACTTTTCCTTTTTCTTTCTTTTTTCTTCTCTTATTTTCGCTTTCTTTCTTTTTTCTCTTTCTGTCTTTCTTTCTTTTTTCTTTCTTTCTTTTTTTCACTTTCCTTCTTTCTTTCTTTATCTTTTTCCTTTTCTTTTTCTATTATTTTCATTCTCTTTCTTTCTTTCTTTCTTTCTTTCTTTCTTTCTTTTCTAAATATGATCCAAACGGCTTCTTTGATCTCTTCTATCTCTCAAACTTTCCCATCATCACCTGACTGCGCCGCCAGTGTCCCGTTACATAATATTTTCCACGTGAGAGGATGCCGGGAATCTAAGCCGTTTGAGCAGCCATCATCAGGATGAGGCTCCGACCGAGTGAGTCAGCAGGAATTGCTGACTCTACACCAAAAAAATGGCTTTATCTTTCATTTGTAGAATTGGTAAGACATATTGATGTAGTTCATTACTTCTTTAATATAAAATTCAAAGGCAGTTCATATCCCCAGTGAGTATATCCACCCTTTAGATCGCCATTTTTGTCAAGCCCATTTTGCAATCAATCTCTTTCTCTCTCGCTCTCTCCTAAATAGACAGCGGACCAAGTTATAGCAATAAGAGGCCATTTTGCCAAAGTAACGAGTTCGATAGATTAACACCTTCGTTTTACATATATATATATATATATATATATATATATATATGAAATGGACAAAGTTCGACGATTTTGAGAGACAGAAGAGATCAAAGAAGCCGTTTGGAACATATTTAGAAAGAAAGAAAGAAAGAAAGAAAAAGAAAGAAAGAAAGAAAAGAAAGAAAATGAAAATAAGAGAAAATGACAAAAAAGCAAAAAGGGGAAATGAAAAAACGAAAGGAAAAGGAGGAAAGAAGAAAAAGATGGGAGAAAGACCAGTAAAAACAGAGAAAAGAAAGAGACAAGGAAAGAAATAGAAGAAAAAAAGAATGTATACACATAAAAATGTCTTAAAATATATATATATATACATAAATTCCCAAGAGGATAGAATCCAGGTAGAACCCAATGTCCAGGACAGAGTAAGAATATAATATAAAAAGCTTAAACACTAATATTCCATGGTTATAATTTATTACACTGGAATCGTAATCATCAGACCTACAAATTGAAAAAGAATTTGTAGGTCTGAGGAATTGGATCATGATTACGATTCCATTGTAATAAATTATAACTATGGAATATTAGTGTTTGAGCCTTTTATATCATATATATATATATATATATATATATATATATATGTGTGTGTGTGTGTGTGTGTGTGTGTGTGTGTGTGTGTGTGTGTGTGTGTGCTGATCTAGCATCTTGTCTACGGTTGCTTTCTAACAGACGTGCTGTGCTATGGCTTCCCTCTGTCTCTTCTACAACTATTTTCATGACAACTGTTCCGACGAGCTACTTCGACTTTCGCTGAATCCAAGACTGCATGAATTTAAGCGTGCTACTAGGTTGGCATCTTGGTCTCATCCTTTTACTGTCAAAACGGTTAAATGCAACCGTCTCTTCTACTCAAACAGCTTCTTCTCACGCACTTCCCGTCTGTGGAACTCCCTTCCCCTTACTTGCTTCCCCGATGACTATAATCTTCAAATATTCAAGTTTAATGTCGATCGACATCTGACACTCTCAGCTTTTTCCCCGTCTTTCTCTGTATCCTTTCCTCAAACACGCCTCTTTATTCTTGTTCCCAGTCCTCTGTAACCCCTTGCGCGCTAGTAACATTCCCGTCTTGCTTGAGGCGAATTGCTTTAATATATAGTGACGAAAAAGAAACGAATTAGACTCTTCACAAATTCCGTGGTGGAACTTAACCGAGTTTCCCGTTCCCATAGGAATGTGCTCCTACGACCCACGACTTCTGTTCCCAAGCCGCTCTAGTTGGTATGACGCTTGCGACGTATCGTAACGGTCCGGGTTTCAATTCTCGGTAGTGGATGCGCACTGCTGATGAATCCCAAATATAGGACGAAACGGCAGTCCAGCGCTTTCTACATTCTGTTGAGGTTTCTATCAGTCTCGATGAATTACTTAATTATAATTATCTCAAATCCTCACTTATATATCCTATCACTTGTATATCCTTGCTTGAACCGGCTTCTAATGCTGTGGACTAAGCGGCTTGGGATATTAGTCATCGCTCGTGGAGACACAGTCCTATGGTTAAAGAGAAACTCGGATGAGTTCCACCATTGAATATGTGATCGAGCAGGTCTATAGCGAGTCTGACTCGCTACCTCTTCGTTGGAACAGTTGGTATGACGTTTGCCTGATAATGTAACTGTCCGGGTTTCAATTCTCGGTAGTGGATAGGCACTTATGATGATGTCCCAAATATAGGACGAAACGGCCGTCCAGTGCTTTCTGCATTCTGTTGAGGTTTCTTCTAGGCTCGATGAATTAATCATGACATATATATATATATATATGTGTGTGTGTGTGTCTATGTGTGTGTGCGTGCATTGAGTGTAACAGCAAAATCGTATAACATCATAATTATCCGTTCCACAAAATGTTAAATAGGAAAAAAAGCAATTAAACTAATCGAGTTTCTTTTTTCCCCGGTTTTCAGATAAGTCGTTTAGCCATCTTGACACCATTTGAAAAACCCTTTGTTCAGCTAAAAAGACAGTAGGTTAAAAATTCTGTGTCAGGCCCACTGTCTTCGTAACTGAGCAATGGTGAGAGGGAAAAGATGATTCAGGCCTTCAGTAAAATATTCATGCTCTGGCTTCCATCTTCAAAGTCCATTCAAGAGCCATTAAAAGAACGGTGAATAAGTTTCAAAAGAGAGGGAACAGTCGAGAGTAAAAATGGATCAGGAGATCACAACAGGAATTTCAACATTTCAACAGAGCTAAAGAAATCAATTAGAAAAGATCCAACTCAATAAGCCGTTTGGAACGTGTGAGAAGAGTTTCAACTATGACAGACCAAAAAATGTCTTGAAAATGAAATCGTACGTGTAACGTGTGAGGTACCTTGTTACTCCAGGACTGAACGTTAGAAGGTTAGAGAGGGCGAAGATCATCTTGGTGGTAGCAGCATCTTCGTTTGGGGATGCTTTTTATACAAAAAGTGCTGGTAACATATCAGTTGTAGATAGTACAAGGGGTTCTGCAACATATCAAAATATTTTGGAAGCAAATTTAATGATTTGGGTTGAAAATCTTGAACTTCCTCCGGATTGACCTTTTCTACAAGTTAATGATCCTAAGCAAATTGCAAAATCTACGGAGAAATTGATTGCTGAAAATAATCTAAATATCCTGAAATGGCGAAGTCAATCCCCAGATTTAAATCCAGTCGAGAATCTGTGGCGTTACATGAAAATTCAAATCCAATCGAGAGCTCCAACAAACATTCCGGATCTGAAGACCATATGCGAAGAAGAATGGAACAAAATACCAAGTAAAATCATATAATTGAGAACTATACGAAGAGATTGGTTGCTGTAGAAGTGAATAATGGCTATTCAACAAAGTATTAAATGAAGATTATGTATTCTTTTTTGTAACATACGAATAATTTTCCACCCATTAAAATGGATAAATGGGATCTGTTTCTATTAAGTCAAATGTTTTTTTTTTTGTTTTCTGTGTATATTTACTTATTATGTATCTGTTTACAGTCAATTATATGAAAAAGAATGTTTATTGATTAGCTGGAAATACAATAAATTAAAAACTTGTACGTGTACGAATATTTGATACCCCTACTGTATATATATATATATATATATATATATATATATATATATATATAGAGAGAGAGAGAGAGAGAGAGAGATAGATAGATAGATAGATAGATAGATATGAACAGGAGCGAGATAGATATATAGACAGATAAGAACGGCCTGAGATAGATTTGAACAGATAGATAGATAGATAGATAGATAGATAGATAGATAGATAGATAGATAGATAGATATGAACAGGAGGAAGATAGATATAAGGACAGATAAGAACGGCCTGGATAGATAGATAGATGAATAGATAGATAGATAGATGGAATAGATGAATGGATAATATGAACAGGAGGAAGATAGATATAAAGGACAGATAAGAACGGCCTGAGATAGATAGATAGATATGAACAGGATTCCAGATAGATATATCGATGATAAAAACGGCCTGAGATAGATGAATGAATGGATAGATGAATAGATGATAGATAGATAGATAGATATGAACAGGGGGAAGATAGATATATACAGATAAGAACGGCCTGAGATAGATAGATAGATAGATAGATAGATAGATAGATAGATAGATATGAACAGGAGGAAGAGATATATAAGGACAGATAAGAACGGCCTGAGATAGATAGATAGATAGATAGATAGATAGATATAGATTGATAGATAGATAGATGAATGATATGAACAGGAGGAAGATAGATATAAGGACAGATAAGAACGGCCTGAGATAGATAGATAGATAGATAGATAGATAGATAGATAGATAGATGAATATGAACAGGAGGAAGATATATATAAGGACAGATAAGAACGGCCTGAGATAGATAGATAGATAGATAGATAGATAGATAGATAGATAGATAGATAGATAGATAGATATGAACAGGAGGAAGATAGATATAAGGACAGATAAGAACGGCCTGAGATAGATAGATAGATAGATAGATAGATAGATAGATAGATAGATAGATAGATATGAACAGGAGGAAGATAGATATAAGGACAGATAAGAACGGCCTGAGATAGATAGATAGATAGATAGATAGATAGATAGATAGATAGATAGATATGAACAGGAGGAAGATAGATATAAGGACAGATAAGAACGGCCTGAGATAGATAGATAGATAGATAGATAGATATTCAAATTTGACTTTCGTTTCAGATATTATAACAGATACAGATACTTAGATTATGACAAGTTTAACCATTATTTTAATCTTGGTCTCCAAGTCGCAGAAAGTATTATCAGAATAACTTGAGTGACAAAAGGTTGTCTGACTTCATTGCTAAAAGTTAATGTCAGCATTTTAAAAATGGTTATCTATTCTTTGAAACAAATCTCACCTGTGAAAGTCGATCATTTGTATTCTTTCTGGTATTGTACGAATACTTTTTTCACCCACTAAAATGGAGAAATGGGATTTATTTTTATTAAATCAGATTTATTTTCTGTTTTCAATGCATATTTACTTATTATTCATCTAGTTAGTGATATGATAAGTATGTTTATTCATTTGTTGGAAATACAATAAATGAAAAAGTCGATCCTGTACGAATATTTTTTCTTCTCTCCACTATATATATATATATATATATATATATATATATATATATATATATATATGAAGTTATTTCTCATGGAAATAGATTTGTTCTTGTTTTTTACTTCTCGGTAATAAGAGGACAACGAAAATATAGATGTCATCCGAAAAAATGCTATGAGAAATGTGTTATTGTTTTGGAACGTGCAGTCGCAAGGCTGAGTTTGAATTTTAAATTTTAAGGTTGTGCGTTTTTGTACAAATATAGTCATAAGAGAATTTTATTATCCGAAACTGATCCAACGCACAACTTTCGGATAATAAGTGTGACATTCCTGTAATTATTGAACAATATAGTTCATGCCACATTGACGGTAAACTTTTCAGTACAAAAGAATTCTCTATCTATTTCCATACCTGAGGATGTCTGTAGAAATAAACGAAAGCTTGTAAAAACTAAAAAAGACCTTATGCAACTGGAATTTGTAAACAGGGATCATATCATTCATATACAGGTTCGGGGTTAGTGTACCTTATTGAAATTGTTTGCGAAGATGTATTCTCGCCATTTCAATCATTAACCTCTATATTTGTTTTTTGTATGAATGATTCATGTAATATATATATATATATATATATATATATATATATATATATATAGTTACTTCCTCACACACACACACAGATAGATAGATAGATAGATAGATAGATAGATAGATAGATAGATATAGATAGATAGATGTTGATATAGATATGATAAAAAAAACGTATACGCACATATACCTGCACGAACATATATATTTCTTTCTCAGGTGTTATAAAAACAGTGCTCAATGTTATATAACAGAGCTATTAAGTGTATATTAGAGAATATGCACAATCTATTTATTTTTCGACTTTCAACTTACGTATTTGACCGATATAAATTATAAATAATTAGTTCTAATATTATAAGCAACAATAATAAAACAAACACGTCTTAACACACAATTTTAAATCAACACCGTGAATTACATAACTCTTAATGGTCTGTGAGTATTCTGCACCTGAAGATTGCATATCAGCATGAAACTCCGAGTCGTGCTATCGACGTGGGATATCATGAATATTTAATAATAATAATAATAATAATAATATATATATATATATATATATATAATTATTTATTCGAAAATTATAACATAAATATGTTATAAAATCACTACAAATATAGCCACCATGAAACACCCCTCGCTATCCTTTCCCTAAAAGGGCTTTTGATTGATTTGAACCTTTTATACCCTTTATTATACATTCAACACCATCGCATGATAAGACGCCAGAAGTGTTGAAACGAAATGGCTATTTTTGTAGTGATTTTGTAACACATTTATCTTATAATTTTCGAATAAATACTTATATTTGCTCTGCTCTGTATTGATCACTATTTTTAAGAATAATATTTGTTGGTTATTGGAATTTATTCCCGATACACTAATCCTATACTTGTATATATATATATATATATATATATATATATATATATATATATATATATATATATATGGGGGATTGATAGGTTATTATTATCAAAGTTATTATTGAGTCCTGAAAGACTGGAACTACAAAAGAGGAATTGCAACAAAGAGGAATGCAAGAAGCAACAACGCATTTATTGTAGAGATTAGATAGAACAGTTCAGTTCATTTCTTGTGGACGACTAACCGGAGGCCATCAAATCAAGAGGCGTTATGAGGATCCGGTTTAGTGTTGATAGTAAAAACCATTGACGGATTTATACGGATTTCACTCAAAAGATACTCAGTTCTAATTTAAAATTCAGTTAAAGACACTCAAGAGTAGAATCTGAAGAGAATTTACGAGCAAAACATTGTATTTTATCAGCAGATGTTAAAGTCTCAAATTGAGTGATGTGAGTGAGAAATTACTCTTTTTGAACGCACTATTACAGACCCGCTGGTAGTCGCGAGAACCAAACTTGCTAAGGGCTATACGGTGTCTCTTTCTGTTAACAAACAAAGCTTAGCCTCTTTAAGGAAACGTTTACAGTTATTATGAACAGACACAAAGAGACGTATATTTTGATCGGTACTATCACTCATGTACAGTCGGTAGAAGTTATATTCCTGTAGGCTGTAGCGTCTGAAGATGTAGATGTGAACCATGGAGAAGATTGTGGTTTCACTTGGCATTTCCGAAAAGGTTCAAAAGGATCGATACCGGCTTTATCCCAAGAAAAAAAACTGGGGCAGTTCTCAAGAAGAAGGCTAAGAATATCAATCCAAGGGGTGCCTCGCAGAATGTTACGAAATAAATCCCAAACACTGCTCGCTAGTTGCTCTGCTGTGTATTTAGGATACTTTCAAAAATATGTAAGTATATCTTTTTCGAATGGTAGCAAAATGTCAAAACCAAGAGGTTCTGCGTAGGCAAGTCATTTTTAGTTATGAGCTACACCATCTTTTTTTTATGGAAAATTATTTACGTAATCTTAGACAAAAGGCTAGAAATCTGATAATCATGAAAAGATCTGTTTAACAATATTAATATCCTTTAGAAGAAATTAGTGGGAAAGCAAATGTCCAAATGGTCTTCTTTTTTTTTTTCTGAATGCTTGAATGAATTTTATGCACGAAGTTTTGAGACGTTTTAAAGGCATCGCCCAGATTTTTATCAAAGTCTTTCGGCTCGAATAACGCAATGGAAGAATTGTTTTCTTTTTTTGTTTCACTTTCTCTCACACTCTGCCTACACCCAATCTCGGCTCCTTTTAGTAGTAAAAAAAAAACGGGTGTGTAAGTGTGTACATATGTATAATTGCCTCTGTTCATCACTTACATCTATTTATCACGTCATATAAATATATTGGTCTCTGTCAAAGTTGACAGTCGAGGTAACTACTTTTCGATAACGATGGCAGAATGTTTTACGATGACGCACTCACACACGTGTATGTATATATATATATATATATATTTGTGTGTGTGTGTGTGTGTGTGTGTGTGTGTGTGTGTGTGTGTGTGTAGCTAGATAGATAGATAAAAAACATTTACAAGCAATAAAAATTTTGTCGGCATTACATAACCCATTGAGGTTGATATACCGTAAAACAAATCAAATCAAACCAATATATACTGAGATAGATAGATAGATAGATAGATAGATAGATAGATATAGAAATGAGAGAAAGAACAAATGGATTTAAAATCAAAGAATAAGAAGCTAAGTTTAATGTTAAGACAAATGAAGACCGTCCTTTTCCCCATCCTCCATTTTGGCCTTGTGTCACATTTTGTATTTTTACAAATATATATCGCTCTTCTCCTGGGTAGCTTGACGGCGCGAATTTAAACACTACCAAATTTTCAATAACGTTTCATCACCTGCGGCAGGTGGTACTATGTTGCAAGGTACAACTAGCACATGTAGAGTACAGACATGGACAACTTCTACACTCATTCAAGTCTAAAAAAGATTGCTCTTGTTCGCATACAATAAAGATACTAAGTATTAGAGAGTGTTTGCTACCTAAAGACAAATCTACCTTTTCTGTTTGGGTTTCACGAGAAAATAGCCAAGTAGTTTAAAGTACTGTACTACTGTACTGATGCGGCATTCACCCTGGGTGGATTGAGCCGGCTTCTTCCTGTTATGAGAAGAAGATTCTTGGGATAAATTACAAAAGGAGGGTACCCAGGCCTACTCGGATAACGTTCTTGCTTGCCGCGGATTCCCACAGACGCAGAGAGGAACGACCAGAAAAGCCAGTTACCGATGCAGACGCTCCTTGATTTTCACCAGAGCCCTTGTTAGCCGGCGTGTGTGTCAGACCTGTCCGCCTTTGGGTGGCCCTGCCAGGAACGAAGTTCCGGGCGGCATAGCTCGATACTACCGTTTACACCCCACCACCGACTGTGAGGGTAATACTGGACTTTGGGGGCTTACAGTACCAGGTGTTCCCAAGCGGTCCCCCATCTAAGTACTGAGCTGGCTCTACGATGCTTAACTTCGGTGATCGAACCGGTGTTTCAGCGTGATTTGACCGTAAGTAGTTTAAAGTGTTGGTTCGTGAATTTGCTCACATAATGATTGTGAGTTCAATCCCTGGGTCGGGCAGTATCCGAAACAGCTCGAGAAATAACTGAGCAGTTTTAAAAACAAGAACAAGACGAGATATCCATAGATATGGACAGTGAAACGAGAACAGTTCTCACCCTTAAAGTTCAGTTCGGAATTCACTGCAGTTTACTCGGATGTAGACCGGAACAAAGATGAAGGCAGTAGTCCGCATGTAAATAGTGTAAACAAATCTAGCGAGCTAGCTCTCTGTGTGTTTATGACTATTCGTATCTACAGTGTGTTTCTACAAATCTTAGTCTGGCAAAATTTTGAAAATATGAGGTGCCAAAAAAATGGCGCGAACTTCTCGAATAATGTCTTCAAGACTGAACTTGTAACTGTTGTGTAATGATACACCTAATTTACATAAATACTACCGACCATATAAATATGGGTTGGTACCGGAAGACGGGGAAGATAGTAGAGATTAAGAAATTGAATCCAGAGACTCTGCCTGACTGCGATTTAGTCAACCCATTATGCAGGAACAGTCTTCCCCAAGAATATACCAAACTAACTTAAATATTGTGTACCTATTCTTTGTTTCAATACATTTTTTTAACGTACATTTTGTGTTGTATTATTCCATGCTTATTTAAGCTTCAACACTAACCATTTCCCCAAGTTTGATTGGGTTTCATTATTAAAATCGTATGTGATCTGAAAGCTAATGAGGGAAAAGATGTCTTCCGTATGCACCTCGAATAATGAGCATGCGCAATAAGTTGTGTGCGTTAAAGGATACCCGATAAAGCAAGCGTATTTGTGATGCTATTTCGTGTGTATATGCTTGTTTTAATCACAATTACTCTGTGGCTTTGTCGCAATTTTTTTTCGCGTTGGAGAAGTCAGTGATGGGAGTCGGACTTATTAAAAACTTGTAAGTGGCACTTGAGACAGCAGTCTACCAAATGGGTCCCAGTTGAAGCGTTTCCATATTTAACGTTTAAAATTTTACTTAAAAAGCAATTCTGACCTTTCAAAGAGTAGATGAGCAGATCTCATGTCTCTAGTATCATTAATATATATATATATATATATATATTCAGACGGCATGTGGGGGTAAATGGAGACTGATAATATGAACATAAATAAAAATATATTAACGATTTACATAAGTAACAGTTGACAGCATGGTCATCCAGCGTTACTCGGATCAAAACGAGTATCGCTATCATTATGATGGGCGTGATTTTATAATTCAAGTCAGCCGTTATTCAGTATATATCGGAAAAGAAGAAAAAAAGAATAAATTTAACTTATCCTACGGCATACAAACAGTTTTGCCTTTATCATTTTTGTATTGATACAGAAAAAGGTCTCGAAGGGTACACACACATATATATAATAACATATTTTATATGAAATTTCCTCATTAATTCACACATATTCACACACACTCATATATACAATCTTCCTCTCTCTCACGAACACGCGCGCATACATAAAGCAACACACACATACACACACACATATACATACAGGGTGTCCATAAAGTTCGTGTCCACTTTTTAAAAAAATTATAACTTTATTTGTATTTGCGATAGAAATAATCTGTGAAAAATGTTATAAAGTTTAATGTACTTAGTTTTAAGTATAGCTAAAATAACTAATGTGATTTCAGGCATTACTGTAAATCAGTTGGCAAATGTTTTCCGTGAACTACAAAATCATATTACCCTTTGTATTTCTAATGATGGAAGACATGTGGAAACTTAAATAAAATTTCAATAAACCTTAAAAAATATAGATTTACTTCTTTCTAATCCTTTTTACAAATTATTTCTATCGCGAATACAAATAAAGTTATACATTTTTTAAAGTGCATACGAACTTTAAGCACACCCTGTATATATATATATATATATATATATATATATATATATATATATATATATATATATATATACATACATACATATATATATACAGAATATATTAAATATACTTTTACAAATTGGGGGGGGGGTTCTTTACACTAAAACAAGGACAAAAGTCCATGCAAACATATATCTGCAAATCCTTCGTCTTCAAGTTTAAAGAAAGTTTACGGTAGATGGCGCTATGTTGTCACTTGGACTAGGTTACATTTGTCATTCGTGTACATTTGTGGCTAGTCTGCCTTCAACGTTTAACGTAGTAGCGAGTTAACTGAGAAGTGTTCCGTTTAACAATGGCAGTGTATTCATATCCTGAGCAGGCAGATATGATTTTTACATACGGCCGCGCGAATGGTAATGGACGCGAGGCTGCAGGGCTGTATCCGATTGCGTTTTCAGACCGGAGGCAGCCTAGTCATCCAATTTTGTTGTTGTTTATAATGGTATTGCTAAGACAGGATCGGTGACACCACAGACTCCGCTCGTACGACTGACCCCGAAGAACATATTCTACAGGCTGTCGGAGATGATCCAGGTACCAGCACACGTAAAGCGGTCCTAGCATGCCGTACATGTCATAGTATCACATGGAGGGTAATCCAAGGGCAGCTCCTGTATCCGTATCATTTGCAACGTGTGCAGGGTCTTTCGCCCTCTGATCACTCACGACGAGAAGACTTTTGTTGATCGTTTATAGCACAAACTGACGATCCGCTGTTTCTCTCTTCAGTCTTGTTTAGGGATGAGGCAACATTTGGAACAACCAACATTATATTTATATTTATTTATTACTAGCAGGAGAGCCCGGCGTTGCCCGGGGATATAACAGTAAGAGATAGATCATAAAGACTGAAAAATAAAATTGACAAAGTTTATTGTTTAAGGTTGACGGACACGCATGTCTTAATTATTATTATTATTATTATATTTTTTTTTACGAATTGGTCAAACTCAAACAAAAACATTGTTTTCAATCGTTATGAGTCTACCGATTGAATAGAATTTTATTGAAATCGGTTGAAAAATGTAGGGAAATCCACATCCCATATATAAACGAACACACACACACACACACACACACACACACACACACAACCTGGGTTTATAATAATAATAAGTATAACACGATATAAGTTGTCCCCCTTTCATTCTGGCGGACAGAATCGTGTTTTATCGTGTTTTCAAATTGATTTCGTGCAAAAAACAATTGTGTTTTTTCCCATTTTGGCGCTGTCAGAACCACCAAAATTTACGCAGTCCTGTGAAGTTTTGTTGAAATCGGTTGAAAATGGGAAATCGATCCAATATATAAACGTACACACACACACACACACACACACACACACACACACACATCTGCGTTTTATAATAAGTAAGATTATATTTTTTTCGTAATATTGCCAAGTTCATAGTAAATTAGATTAAGTTATCTCCCTTCCCTAAATAATTAATAATTAATAGTTAAGCAGATTATCATGAAACAAGAAAACTTTTACGTAATATCAGTCTCTCTATATGGCAGTGAATTCTGAACAATATCATCACCCTTGAAGAAGAGACTTAAAACAACAGAAATGTATTACAGTGTAACCCGGATATAACAGAGTTGTCGGGACCGGAGAAGAAGTCTCTTATATCCGGGTTTCTCTTATATCCGGGTTTGGTCTATTTTATATACATTAACACAGGCTCTAATTTGGGACCAGAGAAAATCTCTCTTATATCCGGGTTTCTCTTATATCCGGGTCTCTTATATCCGGGTTACACTGTACTACAGAAGGATAATGAGAATGCCAAGGACTGAACATGTACGTAACGCGGAAGTTTGAAGGAGAATGGAAGCAAAAAGAACCTTTATACTTAAAATAAGAAAGGGACTGCTGAATTTTCTAGGATATATAATGAAGAACGAGCTCCTGCAGAATTTGACTCACGGGACGTTTTTAGAGCTCCTCGTGGCAAGAAGAAGAGGCTCAGTTTATCGGGATGTGTGTGGAAGATAACGGTTTGAACAGGTTAAGATTGTAGTGATCGGAGAAGTATTCGCTAGGGAGTCGGTTCCGCAGAGCAGGAGTTCGTGAAGAGGGAACTTTACACTTTGATATCCTTTCCAACCAGAGAAATTGGACCTCTGGCCTTTGTTCCGCCTTGGTACACACTGCTATAACAGAAACAATAAAACTAGCGCGACCAAGCTCACACTTCGATCACGTGACCACAACTATAAACACGCATGAGCAGAAGGCAGGGTGACAAACCTAAAGATATCTTATGGTGAAAGTGCGGATAATTTTTTAACTACCCTCGCGCACACACACACACACACACACACATACATATATATATATATATATATATATATATATATATATATATGTATATATAATATTTTTATTATCAGAGGTTACAACAGAAACATTCTTAAATCGCTGCACAAAAGCTTTCATGTTTCAATACTATGATTGTCCTTCCTCAGGCCAGGGTAGGTAACTGGTTATAAAATGATTTCTTAGTGAAATTTAAAAACAAAACGTTACCTCTTTTCCTAAAGTTAAAGTGGTGGGTACATAAGGTCCATAATTAAAAATAGACTTGTGGGTGTGTCTAGATTAACCAATTAAATGTCAGATCTACGCTAAATAGAAAAATAAGGTCAGAGGGTGGAGTTAAGTGAGTTATTTTTTGTTCATGTCACGATAAACCGACATAGACATGGCATCATTGAACTGTGGATTTTTAATCCATTTGTTCTTTCATCTATCTATCTATCTATCTATCTATCTATCTATCTATCTATCCCAGTCTGTTCATAATCTATCTATCTATCTATCTATCTATCTATCTATCTATCTATCTATCTATCACAGTCTGGTCTTTTCTTTCTATCTATCTATCTATCTATCTATCTATCTATCTATCTATCTTAGTATATATTGGTTTGGTTTGGTTTGTTTTGTTTTACAGCATATCAATCTCAATGGGTTATTTAAAGCCGACAAGATTTTTATTGCTGGTAATATTTTTATCTATCTATCTATCTATCTATCTATCTATCTATCTATCTATCTATCTATCTATCTCAGTATATATGGGTTTGATATGTTTTGTTTTCACGGCATATCAACCTCAGTGGGTTATTTAATGCTGACAAGATTTTTATTGCTGGTAATATTTTTTTTTCAAAAATGTATTGCTGGTAATAATTTTTTCCTCAAAAATTTATTCCTAGTAATTTTAAAAAAAACGTATTACTCGTATTAAAACCTACTTTTATAGTGTTTTGACCCTAGATTAGCGGTTAACTATTTACCCATAGCTGAGACCCTAACAGGTGCTACCACCCCGTGTCAAGGTGGACCTGGGAACACCAGCAATTAAGAGATGGTTCCACGCACCTCAGCGCCTCCTGATCAGACGCTTGCTGTCTGATGTAGTTTATCGTCATATCCAGGACGAAAGCATGCCCAGTAAACAGTAGTCAAGTCATATTTTCTTAACAAACACTGACTCAAACATACAACAATATTCCTAACACCAAAGCAACGCATTCTTGCTTGCCATTCTCTCTACATTCACCTTAATACCTCATTGTCTCTATGAAAGTCCTAGCTAGTCCCGATATGTACAATTCATTGTCTGTAGGGGGGGGGCGGATAAAACAAATATTAAAAAATCTAATCCCAGTGAATATTTACCAAAATGAACAAAACTATTTACAAGAAACTAATCAAAATAATATTAATAATAAAAAAAAAACCACAATCCTTAAATGTGGCAGAAACATCAGTTAACTGAACGAAATCAATGCCGGACTTGAATAATATAAAACACCCATTCATCCCAAGCACTCAATTAAACACACACTCACTCAGATATAAAAACAAACACGACAACCACACCCGAAATGAGTCCTGCACCCACCAGAGAACTTACAACTTACAATTACACATAGCTTTTTCGGCCATAATGTGATGAGACGTTATTGACAATCTGGTAGTGTGTTTAAATTCAAGCAGTCGTGCGACCAAGGAAGAGAGTTCATTAGAAAAACTGTCGGGAAAATGTTTATAGAAGAGACAGAAGGGAGTGACGTTACGACGTCGGGAAAGCGAATAATGTCGAGATACCAAGTCCAGACCGATAACAATACAGACATTTCTTTAGATCTTGTCAACAATCTCGAAACATATAACCGAATCACCAGACCACATATGGTAACAATATTCAATGCATGGACAAACGATAGATTTATAAATGTGCAAGATGGAGTCTGACGTGAAAAATGGTCTAAACTGTAC